CAGGCGACACAAAAGCACGATCATTCTTGCAGAGAATGGCAAAGGCAGTTCGGGCAAAGAACTCGGGCTATCAACATTCGTTTCCTTTTTATTCATGACCAGATTGGAAAAGGCAACCTTTAGAGTTGTGTACTGCCCAACCTTGGAGGGCGTGGAGATTTTTTCACGAAGCCCCTTCAGGGCAAGCTTTCCACGAGCACAGGGCTTTCATCATGGGGCATCCACCCCTTGTTTGATTGCCTAATTTATTTTAGTCGTTCCACGGTAGCCACTTAGGGCACCTGCAGGAGTGTGTTGGAGGAAACATACCTGACACTCTCTTTACTATTGACTTCGTGTATTAATCATCTAGTCCGGTTCGCATGTAATTCATCATGCAAGGAACCAAGGGAGTTTAGGTCTAAAGTGTTACGGGGTCCTTATATCCAATTCAATCACAAGAATTGCTATGCACCACCAACGAGAAAAATCGACCTGCATACTTTTTCCTCTTCAGTCTTTCATTAATCTAAAACCAAATTACTCCCCAATAAGCTGCAGTATTACTAGCAAACAACAGCAGTGGGAGACCTTGAGTGGGCTTTTGGGTGTGTTGGTACGTTCCAGCCAGTGGAGCGAGCATGTGTTGGTTCATGACACGTCGAATCAATCATTTCTCCTTCTTTTGAACCCGCAGTGTTCATGATTGAAGTATCATTCACTAGTGGTCAAAAGCTGGGCTCCGTTTTGGAAAATATCAATGATACCTATCTTTCCCAATGTGAGGCTTTGCATGCTAGTGATGACTATGCGTGGATGATCCGATCTATCTGGCAAGCCATTTTGAACCTGACTGGATTTGCAAAGGGCCCATGTGTTCTCACGGGCGATGCCATGAAAAAAGAGGACATGGTTGGTGCTGTACCTAAGACTCACATTGTCTTCCATATCCTGAAGCATTTTGTTTGTGTTGTCTTTGGCAACTACCAACTTGGGGCGGAACTTTCACTTGAGCGTGCCAAGGTAAAAGAAACAATGGGTCCCATGGGTCCATGGGATCACTTCCTTAGAGCTTTGTCTTTCTATGCCGCGGTGAAGTCCTGCCGCAGCAAGAGCCAACGGCGCAAGTACAGGTGCGCAGCCAATGCTTCCCATAAGGTGGTCAAGACGCTCGTCAAAAAGGGTAGCGTCAAGGTGATCCACCACTTGGAGCTATTGAATGCAGAGCGGGCGGCCATTGATGGTTGCAAAAATGTAAACGATCTCTACAGCACCGCTGGGCGTAGTGCCACTCGTGGTGGCTACATCCAAGATGCTGCTATTGTTAGTGAACGGCATTCTTTGTACTTCATGGCACACAATGATGATACTGGAGCCACCTTTCGGATGAAAGATGCTGCAGAACGCTACCATGCCTGGGGTGCAACTGCGAAAGTCAACCAATTGAGGGAGAAATATCCGCAGATTCTAGACTTTTGATCTCGCAAAGGACGAGAATGCATGTAGCCCCCTTCTAACACATCATAGCCATTCCCTATAAAGAAAAGAAGTTTCTATGTCAGCGGGCGTGTTCCACCCTTTCTTCCCATGTCGCAATGTAGAACCATGCAAGAATATCCTAGCTCTCACTATCCAACCTAAGAGAGCCATTTCCTCAAAGCACCTCATGATTGCCTGAAACTATCCATAAGATTACGTTGATGCCATTGTCTATAGAAATATGTAACATAGAATTACAGAGTTCTAGAACTGGTCACGTCAAAAGACCCATCTGCCCTAACCAAAACGTCCATGGTGAGTTCAGAGAAGGCCTCAAAATCTACCAAAGAGTACAACACTGCTTGTTTTTTGGCTGTCACAGTGATCCAACCAGAGCGTGTTATTCCATCACCAAAACTGTCAGATACAATCAATTTGTAGGCTGTGTTGGTGTTTACTGGAAAGAGATAGGAGTATAGATAATAAAAAAACTCCAGTGGACCACCTGATTCCAGTGTGTCCCAAGTACCAGCCACATTGGTTTCCTTCTGCCAAACCCATGATATTTGCCATGGCTGATGATTGGTTTGGATATTGAGCATGACATTCGCAACTCTGGTTGGAAACCGCCCAGGCCGAAATGGTGGAGGTCCTTTGAGGTCGCCACAAGTGGAAACAGGTGGAGTTTCGGTAACGATGCAATCACACCATAGAGAAGAACAAAGATGCCCGGGCACAGTTCCCAAGAACTGATTCCTATATAGACTCAATCCCATAGACGCATTCAGTTGGCTGGGCAACGTTCCATTCAGGTTATTGTTCTGAAGACCCAAAGATGTCAGTGATGTCATCATGCCAATTTCAGTGGGGATCTGGCAAGATAGAAGATTTCCTGATAGGACCAGCTCTTGCAACAAGGCCAGGAGCCCAAACTCAGAAGGAAGTGTACCAGACAACTGATTCTCATCAAGGTCAAGCTTGGATAATGAGGTCATGAGCCCAAGCTCGGAAGGAATTTGACCTGTCAAACGATTATAAGAGAGCCAAATTGCTTTCAACGAGGTCAGGAGCCCTATCTCTGAAGGCAGTGGACCAGAACATTGATTCAAAGCAAGCCAAAGTTCTTTCAATGATGTCAGGTGTCCAAGCTCAGAAGGAATTAGACCGGTCAACCGATTATCAGAAAGGACAAGCTGGGACAAGGGAGTCAATAGTGCAAACTCAGAAGGAATTTGGCCTGACAACTGATTCAATCCCAAATCGAGGGAGGACAGCAAAGTCAACAGTGAAATCTCAGAGGGAATTCTGCCAGTGAACCCATTTCCCCACAAAGCCAAACTTGTCAATCCAATCGTCTCATAAAGTTCTGTTGGTAACAGAGATGAAATTGGACCAGCAATGCCATTGGCCCGCAAGTCTACACGAGACAAGGAAGTCAAGAGCGCCATCTCAGATGGCAAAGATGGGAGACGACCAGAGATCTGCAGGTCTTGCAGATCCAGAGATGTAAATTGTCCTTGGCAGTTGCAGGGAGGTGTAAATGGAAAACCCTGGGCTTGGAAATCAGAGTATGTCCCCCCAAAACCTTCAAAGAATCCAAACCCACTGGAGAACCAGTCACACTCTTCGACTGTGTCATCCATCCAGCGCTCTCTTATGAGATGATTCCAATTGTCTCCCTCAAAGGCATAGAAAAAAGTAGCAAGGGAAAAGAGCTGTGTCTTTCTCCATTCTGGAAGAAATGTGATATTCTGGTGATTGGATAGCCATTGCCATGCTCTCCACTGCGGGGTCTCACTGCCATTGTTGATGCTGGCCAAAGTGTAGTCTGGGAGAGTATCCAGCAACACGTCCAGAGCTCCGGTAGGAGCAGTGGGTGGGACTGCTGATGGAGTCATGGAACCATAAACCGTTGGAGCATCTGTTGATAGGGAGACAATCACCTCTGGCTCCTTCTTTTGAGTTCCTGCCACCACTCCCACAACGATTGCTGCCACAATTAACAAGATGACAAAGAAGAAAATAAAAATCAGCCTCTGTTTCTTCCTCTTTTGTTCTCTCTGCTGGACATGCTGTAGATCAACTGGATCTGCAGCGGGTCTAGTTTGTTCCTCCTCTGGATCTTCTAGAACAAGATTTGCCACTGCCAATTTCGGGTTATTTGTTGATGGATTGTTGTTGTTGGTGGTGGTGGTGGTGGTGGTGGTGCTGGGTTGGCCCGCATCACGTGGTTCAGCCAGAGCAGAGGAATTGTCTGGATCACCTATCTGCACTAAGGGTTCACCCTGACCAGTGGCACTGGCACCAACAAGGGAATATTGTAGGGTAGTTGCACGCTGTAAGGCTTCTCCGGGTAAACCCCTGTAGGCCCCTGGTCTCGACGGCTGATTTTGTTGCCTCTGTAGTGGTATAGGTTCTGGTTGCACTGCAAGTTCCGCACTTTGCTGGTTTGGATCATTACCAGCATTACCAGCAGTTTCACATTTTTCCATTTTGGCATTTTCAGTGATTTCCGTTGCCATTTGCATGAGGTTCTTGCTGTGGGTAGTGGTAGGTTTTTCGCTATTTTCGTTGAGATATTCCGCAGCTGCCAAGCTGGCCTGATCTGCCACAATTTTCATGATTTCTTGTTCTTCCTCTTTTTCTTCATCTTCATCTTTTACCACTTGGTGCAACGGGGGTTTGATTTTTCCTGTAGCGTGCTGCTGTTTCTGCTGGTTGGCTGTCAATTGGTTTTTCAGACTTCTACCGTTCGTACAAGCCGTGGACGAACTTCTGGGAGTCTTCTTGGATGGCAGTTTCTTGACACCTTCTTCTTGGTCTTCCTCAGTTTTTGTGTCTGTGGCTTTATGGTCTTGTTGGCATTGCAAGGCTTCTGCTTCCACCCTTTTGATAAGGGCATCCCTTACTGCTGGGTCAAGTTGATCGTGTTTGCTGTTGTTGACGCCAGCGGCACCATCAGCACCATCAGCGGTACCAGTACCAGTGGCACTACTGGGATGGGAGCCCTTTGCTCCTTTCATCTTGCTCTTATTCTAACGCTGCCGTATGTTTAGACGGGGAACCAATGATGGTGCTCTTCAATATGGGTACCGGTATACCAAATACACTGCTTGAATCGTGGTGGTTATTGTACAATGAGGGGTTTACTATGGATTAGGTGGTTATTGTGGTGTCTTATGCGGATCAAAAGAAACACCACGGACCACAGATGATCGATAATAAGAACAAGCAGCCGGAGGCTGATGCCCTCAACTGTCAAAAAGAGATTTGATTGGTCAAATCATTTACCGTGTTCAACTGGACACACTATTGATAGCAAGTCTTCATAGCCAGCCAGTACGGGCACAGTGGTATCCGTACCCATGGGTCCAGAGTACTGTGTCCAACAGAACACACAATATAAATCCCTATCCTTAACAAGGAAAATGTCCCTTATGTCTTTGGCAAAACCTCCACCGTGTTTATCTGGACACACTAGCGAGTCTGCATAGCCAGCCAGTACTGGTACCCATGCGTAGAAACTACTGTGTCCAAGAGAACACACAAGATTAATCCCTATCCTTAACGAGCGACGAAAACAGCTGCAACAAACACACACACAAACACACACACACACATACACATACAGCGATAAAAGTGTGAAAGACCCTCAGTCCTTTGAGGGCAATAATAATATTACTCGTGGGAAAGGGCTGCTTTCGATTGGACCGTTGCATTGCGTCCGCCCGAAAACCGTGGCGTAAGGGGCAATCTCGAGTGAACCGGAGTTTCAGGACTCTGTGGTTCGCTCTTTCATCTCGGCCAGGTTGAGCATAGCTCTTGCCCGTGCCACGACAATGTGTTTGAGAGGCTCCCGTGTCTCAGCTCTCAAGGTTTCCAAGCGTTGGGATGACTGTGGTGCCCTCGATCTCTTCCGCTAGTCTTGCTCCTTTGCTCCTCCCTGCACTCCTGCCTTCACCCCTTTCCTTGGTTTCCATGTTGCCCTGCTTGCGCACTTGATTGCCTGCCTTGCGTTCCTGCGTCGTGCCCTCCCCTCGAGCTCTGTCCCCATCCTCCTCTTAGCTCTCTCTAATCCATAGTAAATCCATCAATCCAGTTTCAGGAGAGGAATCTTGTTTTCAGAGCTTTGCAGGCATAGGTAGGTCACACATTGGAGGTGGAGTACGGTATGTTGGTCCTTCTCCAGTTGCCGGGCCAGGACGACTTGTCAGCCACTTCACGCGGAGCAACGGGATGCCAGCCACGAAGGTGCCCGTTGCTTGGACCGCATACGAGGTTATAATTCCAGCCACATTTGCACTTGAAAACCGAGGAAAAGCCGGAATATTGCGTCATAACCATGGTCCCTTGAAAACGGGAAGACCAGAGACGTGTTGCTTGTTGAGCTACGTAGCGACCCTTCACAAACGGGACCACCCATCATAAGTGCTGGATATCGATTATTCCTATTTGTGTTTATGCAACGTGAAATGTAGTATAGTGTATGAATGGCTGGAGTCTATGGCGTCGTATGTACAGTTGCGCCCGAAAGCGCTATATTATGGCTCTCCGTTCAAAATATGGTCTTCGTGCTGAATGAATTCAATCAATCGAAAGCTTTCTTACGCCCGGACCGGTTGCATTGTCACAAACCTCTGTTTCGTAAGGGTCAAGCCCAAGTACGCCAAGCACCAGCATGCGATCATAATGGTGGCTTCCGCCTGGACCGCATCCTCGACGCTCGCGTCGTCCATACCAAACATTGCCAAGGCTTGCTTGCCAGTGGCAGCCGCTGGGCCCTCCGAATCAGTGGCATCGAATTCCAAACCTTCAAACTCATTGACAACCAACCCTGTAGAGCAAGAACAAGCAACGAGGCATAGTAGATGAGATACCGCGCACACGGAGCGACAATGTCGTGTAGAACTACTAAACTCGACGCACCTTCAAATCCCCAGCGGATGAGGGACACTTTGGGAATCCAGCGCAGTAGAAACGGGGTATTCTCAATGGAAATG